CATGCAGCGTTAGGAGCAGCAGTCCTTCCTGCTATTGGATCTTCCAAGTAAGTGCCTGGAAGAACAGAGTCCAGGGGCTCCTGGGGAGTAACAGATAACTTAGGTCCATGGAAGTGACTGGACACTTTGCAGAAAGCTAACACTTGGGAATCTGCAGTAAACTGAAATTTTCAAAAGATAACTAGTTAAGTTGAGCCATATTGAAAAGGTGGTCATTAGCCTATAAAGAAATTAATGTTCCCAACTGAATAGACAAAAAGGAAGCAAGGGTCTAACGGGTGGTATGCCATTGGGAAGCCAGTCTAATTTCTGGGGTGAATGAGTTGAATGGCTCACTGTGTAGGACTTCTACTCTACGAGGGAATCCCTTCAACCAGGTCAAGGGGAAAGAGGACATGGCCTTGGGGAAGATGTGGCTATCCCATGACAGACACAGACTCAGAGGGTTCCATTGGTTAGATGATTCCAAGCAATGAAATCATTTCAGTCAGACTTAAGCTGTCAGGATTAGTGAGGTTAGCTCAGCTGGATTCCTTAGCTTTGCTTTTTTATGACTTGACCCAAACCTGGGAAATACAGAACAATTTGCTTTGCATTTTTCAACTTTTTTTTTTTCTTGCAAAGCTTCCTATTCAGAGTATTCCCCTTACAAGGATATTCCGAGGTGGGAAGGTGCCCTCATTCAGAGGTTGATTTGCCTTAGTTTTTCCTGAGAATTAAATGGTAGAACCCCAGCTCCATGAGTGTAGTCTACTTATACTACATACAAGCAAATTATGCACCTCTTTATTGCTGATTCTAAGCATACATTTTCATATGAACGAGTGGAATATAATGTATTAGAAACATGGAATATTGACTTGTTTCTGAAAAGATTTCTTTTTGTCACTGTGTTAATATTTTGGCTAATTACGCAGATAATGTTTTATGACAGCTGTGAGATATTTGAGCTGAATTTGAAAATCTCTCTAACTTAAATGACTTGAAAACATGGTGTATATTAAGAATTCTTGCCTGAGCTGAATGTGGTAGTACACATTTGTAATCATAGTGGCTTGGGAGGCTGAGGCAGGAGGATCACAAGTTTGAGATCAGTCTCAACAATTTAGTGAGGCTCTAAATAAATTAGTGATACCTGTCTCAAAATAATAAAAAATAAGAAGGATTGGGGATGTGGCTCAGTGGAAAAGTACCTCTGGGTTAAATTCCCAGTTTAAAAAAAAAAGATACTTGTTTGGGCTGGGGTTGTGGCTCAGTGGCAGAGCACTTGCCTCACACATGTGAGGAATTGAGTTCAATCCTCAGCACCACATAAAAATAAACAAACAAGATAAACTTTTTTTTTTAAAGCACTTGCCTGTAGAATAAAGGGGATTTTTAAAGTGTTTAAGTCAGATCTTTATGGAAAGGCTGGGGGTATAACTTAGTGGTAGAGCACTTGCCTAGCATGTGTGAGGCCCTTGAAATCAAACCTCAGGACTGAAAAACAGAAAACAAAATTTTTATGGAGTACCTGAAATGTATATGTCTCCACCAAGCAAGGAATACTAAGCCATGTGCATGTGGGATAGAGTTTATAATCTTGTTGACCCAATAACATTAACATTTACAATAATTACATATGGTAATTCACGCTAAGGCTACTGGCATTGACTGGGGAGTTTGTGGACCTTTGAGGCAGAGAGTGACATATCAAATGGCACTGAAGAAAAGTTTGTCAAGAACAAGACTAAGAAAGGAATAGAGTGTTTGCCTTCCCAGGAGCATATTCTTCATGCATGCAGTTTCCTCTTCCCCAAATGCCTGCCCCTCTACTGTGAACAGTGAACTTTCTCCTCACTCCTACAGCTCAGGCCCTCCCTTTTGTGAAATCTGTCTGCTTCTGCAAGGGAGCCTGTTATGTGTCTGCGACTATGAATTCTTGTTGAGAGTGACAGAGGTTTCTGCATTACATCTCATCATCTAGCATCTCAACATCCCAGCATCTTTCAGGGGTTAATTATTCAGGGAGTATTTATCAAGTGAGTAATCCTGACCCAGGAAGTTGCAGACTCGTATCAGGGCCGTGTTCTTGAAATTGGAGTGGTGGTATGGTACATGCTGCTTGGAGAGCGATTTATAGATCACCAGCAGCAACAGCAGCAGCAACATCTGGGAGCTTGTCAGACATGCAGATTCTCAGCCCAGACATACTGGATTAGAATCTGCATTTTAACAAGATGCCCCAGTGCAGTATGCACTTGAAGTCTGAGATGCACTACCTCAAAGCTCCACATTTCATTAAGATTGACTTTGCCGCCAGGCAGGCACTATAGCTGTTCAATCCTTTGTGTATGTGCCAGCACAGCAGTTGCCTGGCCAGGGCTGAAGTGGATGGGAACACTGGTCATAATACACACTGTTGAGGGGAACTAGACAGGCTTCCTCCCATCACTGGGCTTTTGAACTGGCAGCTCTCAGAAAAGGAATGGATGTGTGACCACAGAACATTTAGTTAGAACTGAGATCATATTTGAATGACACATCAGTTGGTGATGTGTCACCTTGAACCTCTTGTGCTTGGTGCAGGAAACGAAAGCTTCCGTGAGCATGGCCACAGGGCTCTGCTCATCTGGTTGCATGGGGTCCTGATGACACAGCTGGATCCTGCCAAGCACCTGTATGAAGAGCTGGTACGTGCCGGTTTCCCAGAACTAGCTGGTGAGTTATAGTTTTTCATGAGCAGAAACTCCACCCTTCAATGACAGGGGACAGTGAACAGAAATCCCACCCTGAAGAGCAGCAGTCTCAGCTGATGTCAGTTGTGGCTCACCCAAAATATGGAGCTGAGAGAGGGACTTCTGCTTCTGTGGGGCACCCAGTCCATCCTCTTCACATTTTAGCCACATGATGCTCAGTGCCAGCCCTATGCTGGGCATTCGGAAAAGTATGGAAGTTTTTTTTATTTGTGTGGTATGTGTGTGTGTGTGTGTGTGTGTGTAGGAGGAATGGGCCAGAAATGCTAAACAATCTTCTATCTTCATAGAATGGTTCTCCTCATCTAAGAGTTGTCTTTCTCAACGTGCCATTTGCTCCTATTGGGAAGCTCTGCCAGTTATTGTATTTGAAAATGTTATCTCTAGAGAAAAAAGAACAGGCAAGTTATTACTATGCCTGCTTAGGATATTGCTAAAAAATCACTCTGCAGCATCACTGATCATACTGTCAGGGAAGATATTTTGAAAACTTAATAAATTAGGTAATGTTATAACTCTCATGTAATAGCAACCATTGAAGCAAAGTACAAGGGCGTCTGCCCTTGTTTTCATTGAAACAGTTTCACCCGGAGCTGAGAACATAGATGAGTGAATCAGAGCACCCACTCAGTATTGTTTCCAGGAGTGTAAGGTTACAGGAGGAGTGTGTGGATGATTGATACCTACCTTCCAGGACATTTCCCTCATAACATTAGGGTTCCCCCTGGACTTTAAATTTAATCTTTCCTATGAAAGTGTTCATAAGAACTTCCAGGGAAGACCATGGAAGTGGTGAAGGGTCTGTGCTCTGAAGCAAGACTGCATGGGTTCACCCCTGCACTCCAACACAAACTATATGACCTTGATCAAGTTCTATGACCTCACTGTGGCCAGCGTTCCCATTGATTAACTAGGGAGGGAAATAAAAACATCCACTTCAGAGGGCTGTTGTGGGATTAAATGAGTAATCATGATTGGTCTATTATAAGTGCTTACAAAATGTTAGCTATTAATCATTAATGTTACCCTGTTTTCCAGAAAAGATTCGTCAATTCAAAAGCAAAACTGACTCAAGCTCCAAGAAGTGTACAGTTTCATAAAAGCCTAAAGAAATTTTTTTAAAAGGGACTTCTCCCTCGGCATTTGGTTCTTTTAAATGCAGTTTCTTATTTCTTCCAGCAGTTTGATTTTCCTCTTAACTATGAAGATGGTGGTGACAGGACCTGCTAGCAAATGGGAAAAGAGTAATACTGTTAGACTTTCGTACCATGGAGAGGTTACTTATTCTTTTTGGCTTTTGCTTAAAGCAAGTTGTGTCTTTCCCACTTTTGTCATTTGATTCAACACCTGTAATGGCATGATCTAGAAGAATATTTTTGTACCTCATGTTTTAAAAAGTCTGATAGTGAGAGCAGCATGGTGACATATGGAAAAACCAAAGGTTTTAGGATAGAGATAGTTTTGAAATGGGTTTTGCCACTTATTAGCTGTGAGCCTTGGACATGTTAATATTATTTAAGTTCTCAGATCTTCACTTTTCTTTTCTATAAAGTGGGAAATGTCTTATTCCATAGGGTTGGGGAGAAGAAGGCAGAATCCTGTGAAATGCTGGACCATCTGACCATTGCATAGAAATCATGAACTGTTACTTCTCTTCAGTAAGGGTTTGGAAATGTTGTCACTGGTGGCTTTAAATCACACATACATGTAATAGATTTCTTAGAAAAGACCAGAAATATATACACAAATATAGTTTTTCATTTCTTGATGATGTAACTGCAAGTGATTTTTATTTCCTTTGTATTTTTGGTATATTCCATTTTATTTCCACAATGAACACACATTATTTTTTTGTAGTCTAAGAAAGGTATGAAATAAATGTGAAATCAGGTATCAGTTTGTACCAGTTTATGTTCCCCTACTCATTATCATTTAAGGTCCTCCATTCTCAAGTTCTGACTCTAAATCTACAAGATAGGTAATAAAGTAATAAATCATAAATGATTGCATACGATTATTCTATCATGAATTTATATATTTTTTTACATCTTTGTCTCATTCTGATTGTAGATGGTTCACTTAATGCTATAAATGTTCACAACTGGTAATATATTTACATGATCTCAAAAAAAATTTTTAAAGGTATTGAGTGAAAAGTCTTGTCTCCATCTGTTTTTTAAACTATGACCAGCTTCCACTGACCTCACTGCCATTCCTCCCCACAAACTTCTGAAACCTGTTTCAGTAAAAATAAGCAAATATATATTCTTATTGTATAAAAAGCTTTATTGTTGAATTTGTTTACTTAGGCCAAAATTAATTGCTTGGTGCTTTAGATAACATACAAAAACTTCTAGAGCTTAGATAAATTTAAACAGATAGTTACAATTCTTTTTTTTCCATATTTTTTATTGGTTCATTATAGTTGTACATAATGGTGGGATATATTGTACATATTTGTACCTGTCCACAACATAACAATATAATTTGGCCCATATCATTCCCCACTATTTCCTCCCTGGTGCGCCCTTCACCTTGCTTTCCGTTCTTCTACTCTACTGATCTTCCTGCATTTTTCATGAGATGCCCCACCCCATAATTTTATTTTCCTTTTTCCTCTCAAGCTTCCAAACGAGAGAAAACATATGCCCCTGACCTTCTTTTGCTTTTCTTTCCTTCTTTTTTTTTTTGAGAAAAAAGAAAAAAGAAGTTTTATTTCTTTCCTAGCAAAGTTGAGTCACAAGGGATTCCTGTCCCAGAGGCTATGATTTTAAAGAGGTGATTCAAAGGCTATATTGGAAGTATTCTCTGTCCAGAACTTTAATTCCCTCATTAATTTGGGACATAGTCATTTCTGAGAGCTTCTGGTGCCATCCTCAAGTCTGAATTACTTCATTCAAGAACAGATAACTCTACCTTGGATGGGGAAGTATGTCTCATTTTTCTACATATGGATAACCAGTTTTCCCAGCACCATTGGTGAAAAAGGCTCTTTTCCCCAGTGATTTTGGAATCTTGGCCTACGATCAGATGACCATTATCTGTGATTTGTCTGTGTCTTCTATTCTATATCATAGGTCTGTGTGTCTGGTTTTAATGCCAGTGCCATGCAGTTTTTGGTACTATAGCTCTTTAGTATAAAGTCAGGTTTTTTTGTTTTGTTTTGTTTTTGCTTAGAATTGCTTTAGTTATTCTGGGTCTTTTATTTTTCTTTTCCAAATGAATTTTAGGACTTTCTTCCCCCTAGTTCTGTGAAGAACATATTGGCATTTTGATGGATATTGCATTGACTCTATACAGTCCTTTGGTGACCATTTTAACAATATTAATCCTGCCTACCCATGAATATGGGAAGTCTTTTCATCTTCTGAGGTCTTCAATGATTTCATTTTTTTAAAAAAAAAGCTGTTGTGAATCGGATTGTTTTCCTAATTTCTTTTTCAGCAGATTCATTTTGGGTGTATGGCAAAGCTATTGAATTTTGTATGTCAATTTTTAAACTTGCTACTTTGTGAAATTTATTAGCTCTAGCAGTATTTTGATCTTATAAATGTAGGATCATATCATTTGCAAACAATCATAATTTAACTTCTTCACTTCCTATTTTTATCATTTTAATTTCCTTCTCTTGCCTAATTGCTCTGGCTAGAATTTCTAGTAATATATTGAATAGCAGTGGTGACAGCAGACATCCTTGTCTTGTTCTGGATTTTAAAGGAAATACTTTCAGTTTTTCCTTATTCACTATGATGCTGTCTTTGGGTTTTGTCTATTATTCTTAAGTATAACACTCATCAATATTTTCTTTAGTTTGTCCCTATGGCTTTGGATTGGATACTGAAAAGCATCCTAGCTGCAGTCTAAATTCCTCAGAAGGTAGGGCTTAAGATCAAGGTTTATGTGTAACATCTTTTTACAGGAGTATCAATCTAGGGGTGCAGGAGTGGAGGAAAAGATCTGGGGAAGGAGGAGAGTCAAGATAGGTGTTACTAAATTGGATACCACTTGGTATCAAGCTTCACAAATTATTTGATCTTGAGGTTACTCTATTCCAAGAGAAGGAATGGACTAGTGCATCTTAGGACAATTCATACAAGGAGGAAAGAAGAAGACTTGATTTGTGGGTTATAGGAATGGCATAAGAGGAAACTTCTATCTCTCCCGGATATCCGGAGAGTTAACAGAGAAGCCCTGGGGAAGACATGTCCACAAAAAGGGTGTGATCATTACCCTAGGTACATATCTGATTGTACAAACAGTGCATCTCTATATCGTGTATAACCAGAGAATTGAAATGTTGCACTCCATTTGTGTATGATAAATTGAAATGCATTCTGCTGTCATGTACAACTAAGTAGAACAAATAAAAATAATAATTAAAAAAACAAAGGGTGCGAGATAAGGGGCTGCTGCTTTGTGCTCATATAGCCTGCTGAAGCCCATGCTGAGCAAAGTTGTTTGCAGTGAGAGCTAGGCCAGAACCCAGAACAAGTGTTGCTTAAATATCTAATAGATATTAAGAAACAGCCTGATACTTGTAATTCAGAAAAGCCTTACGGTGTTCCATTAGAAAATAGGAACTGTTTGCCTATATCAGTTTTGTTTCTGATGTCCTCTTAAGAGTGTGAGGCAGCAACTATTTCCTATAATAAAGTTACAAAATATAACTAGATCATGTTAAAAAATAGAAGAGGTTTCAGATTATTAAGCCATCCATTTCTGTTAAAGATACAGAAATTGGGGCTTTTGACAGCCTCTTCAGAACCATTTTTATGTACTCTATATAAGTGTGAAATGAAATAAGTAGGTTAGGTAGAGGAGGATCCTGGGATTCACTTAAATTAAGTGTCAAGCCCAAGATAACACAGCCAGTAATAAAGCCATTGAGAAGCCAGGTCTTTTTCTCTTAAATCAGTTCTGCCCAGATGTTTTCTTCAAGTTGGTCAACCACTGAAGAATTTCTGCCCATGTCTAGCAGGGTCACACCACCATTATTAATCTTGGTCTTAATCTTTTTAATTTAAAAGTAAAAATAACTTAGTTTTTGTTAGTTTTATTGTTTTCAGTAAAGTTCTCTCTCAAAGTTTTATATAAATTACAGTTAAGTAACATTGGAAATTATTTGTTTTATAAATGATATAGAGAAAAAAATGATGAAATGATGATGTAACCAGTGACAGGCTGAACATATTAAAAAATGAAGTTTCTTTTTTAATTTAAAAAAGTTTTACTTAATTGCTTAAATAAAATAACATTAAAATACTTTCTACAGTATAGTTACAAAGGATGGTATATCTTGAAAAAGTCTCTTTATAATTTTGAAAAGATGAACATGATGTATCCATGATGTTCTAGCAATTCAGAAAAGTTAAAAACTAAAGACTTCCAACTCTTGGTACAGTCTTTACCAGAGGAATTAAAGGACCTTGCTGTGAACATATTCACTTTAGTCAACCACTTTTATGGACTGAATGCTTGTGAGAGACTGGGTGTGGGTTGTTCTGGTTCCAAGAGATCTTGAAACTGAGGTACCACCTTCAGGATGAATGGTCCGTGAGTATTTTACAGCTGATGCTTGAGGAATGGTTTGCTGAAAAGATAAAAAACTGTTTTAATAATCCCACAAGACTTTATATATAAAGTATCATTTTTTCATTTATAATTTATCCCAACAAACCTTTGTTAAGCATCAAACAGATACCAATGAATTCAATATTCAAAAAAGACCAAGCCCTTCTCCAAAAGGAACCCATATGTAGTTCAACACCTGTAATTTAATATCAAAGCTGTATTTCAGAGCCAGAGTCCTCAAAAAGAACTAAATGGAAAAAGGTTATAGAGACTAGGTATAGAAAGGAACTCTGTGGTGTTTGGAAGAGCGTCAGCCCCAAGCCATACCCTCATTCCATTCAGTTTCCTCCTCTCTGAGTGTTACTATGTGGAGTCCAATTGTGGGGGCATAGGGAACCCTGAGTATGTTGTCTGGTCCTTGCTTCAAATTAGAGTAAAAAAGAGGGGCCTCATGTTTCACCTGGTTCACCTGGAAGCAGACAAAACTTTCTATAGTCATATAAGAGTAATATTCCCAGAAGCCTGGTGCTCCCTCAATTTGGACCACAACTTTTGAAAGAAGGACACAACTAGATATTGACGACACATATGGAGGGGAAGATATGTCCACCACCTCAGAGGTCAGGGGAACATCCTGGATATGAGCACTGAAACATTAATGTCAGGGCACTTACATGTAATATGTATAAGTACATGTTATTTACACAAGTACACATTACATGTGTACATATGAATACTCAGACTTTTCTCTATTATACCTGACACAACTTCTTAGTAGCCAACAGTGGGATTTTTAATCAAGATAATTTCTCATGTCAAATTAAGTTCTCACTCAGGTACACATAGATTTCTATTAGGATCTTCCATTTAGAGAAGTCATCTTTAAAATACTTAAAGTAGGACTAGGGTTGTGGCTCAGTGGTAGAGCATTTGCCTAACACATGTGAGGCACTGTGTTCAATCCCCAGTACCACAAACAAAACAAAACAAAAAACAATAAAATACTTAAAGTGAAGTTATAATTGGTCAAAACATTTACTATGCATTTAAAAAACTGTTAAGATACACTTTCTTTAAAAAAAAAAAGGTCTGTAGGTCAGATTCTGCCTTAGAAATAAGAAAAATTCTCTTTTTAACAAAATGGAAAAATAACTTCCATTTAAAAAGTATCAGTGGTAGAGCGCTTCCTCACATGTGTAAGGCACTGGGTTCAATTCTCAGCACTACATATAAATAAATGAATAAATAAAGGTCCATCAACACTAAACAAATTTCTAAAAAGTATCTTATATGTTTCTTTGTTCATAAATAAATGGATAGCCATTACAAATTAGAGATATTTTTGTAGCTGTTATAAAATTTTAGTTGCCAGCTACCTAATCTGATCCATCAAATAAGCTATTTCTTATTGAGTAGAATAGGGACTGTTGAAATAGATTAAAGTTGCCAATGGTGTTATGATATACAAAATATGGCAGAGTTAATGAAGTAGCATCAGGAGCAAGCAATTACCCAGCAGATGGGACTAAGGGGTCACAAGTTTATTAGTAAGAACTGTCTCTGGTTGTTCTAGATCTTGATTTCTAAGATAAAAATGAAACTATCATGTGGTGAGCCGTTCCTGCGGACTGTGGTCGCCATTACATGATGGCGCTGGCTCCGTTGTGGTCTGTGAAGGACAACTCCATATCAAAGAGAGTTGGC